GGTCTCAGGGCTTGACCAGGCTCCTTTCAAATGCTGCCTCTGCTACCTGCTTGATTTCTGAGGAGTCCTCTCCTTCCAGGACTTTGGAGAGATTAGGGAGCAGTTCTTCCAGCTTCTCCTTACTAGTTGTCCAGCTAAGGCAGAGAAGTCCTGCCCCTGGTGGTGGAGCCAGTCATGACGTCATAGGAATATGCATCAGGGGTCCCTGCTCCATCCTTTGGTAGGGGGGTGTGTAAAGACTTGGAATTAAGTTATTCTGCTGACCAGATCCCATAGTCAAGGGCTGAAGATCTCCATAACCTCCACACCAGCCCCAGGGGGCTCTACTGGATGTCACCTACATACTACAGCTGCATTACTACATCCAGCCCCAGGAGGAGAGCCCTGCAGCCCAGGCCTGCTCTCCAGATGCATAAATGATCTGACGCTCTCTGGCTCTTGTCGCCTCTGGGGAATTCAGTTCTCTCCCTTGAACCCAGAGTTGCTGATAGGAATACTGCTCTGCATGGACTAATCCACTCGACCTGTGGCCTAAGACGCTAAGCCTCACACCTGCCCTCGTGGAATTTTTGCTGCCCTGCCCCACTCATGGACTTAGAATCCTTTCTGCTGCTGGAACCTGGCTAAACCAAGCTGGTTCTCTTCTGGGATGCTGGGTTTGGGGCTGTAGTGAGTCATGGCTTCTGTGTCCGGAGCAGAGGCAGAATGATCAGGAAGAAATGAAGAAAGCTTAAACTTGGGGCCCAGCAGGTTTTAACCTGTTGGCCTCTCCAGCATCTTTTAACTAATAATCTTTTTTAGCACTACATCTTTTTTTTTTTTCAATGTTCTTCGGTGGGACAGATTTGAGTTGAGGAGGAGGAAACCAAATATTTTATAAGCAAAAGTGACAAAGCTTATAAGAAACAAATGGAATTGGGTGTGGTGGCACACAGTAATCCCAATGATTTAGGAGGCTGAAGCAGGAGGATTGAAAGTTCAAGACCAGCCTCAAAAATTTAGTGAGCCCCTGGGCGACTTAATGAGACTGTATCTCAAAACAAACAAACAGGACTGGGGGTGTAGTACAGGATAAAGCACCCCTGGGTTCAATCATCCCTATTACAAAAAAAGGGGGAGGGGGACAAAGATTCACCTCTGCTAGCTTGAGTTTGTAAACCCTAAGGTGAGGAGTGGATGGCCAGAGATGGAATTGAGAGACAGTGTCCTAAATCAAAGCTCCCAGCTCTCCACGTACTCCTGGGTGGCATGTGCATGGGGCTGGGGACCCAAGAGAGGAGCACACAGGATAAAATCCATGAGAGACCTGAAAACCAGCTACACCATCCCAAAGGCTGAAGTTCCACACACTCCTGGGGTTTAAGCAAAACGTCTACCCAAATCACTTACCACTATACAGAGCAGGTCCAAGGGCAATTCGTAGAAAAGAAGATAAAATATGAACATGAGAATCAAAATCTGAGCAGGCATATCAGTGGCTACACACTGCAGGAAGGGGATTCCTATAGGGGGACCTGGGGGGCAATAGATTTTGCAGTATAAGTCAAGGCAAATCATTTAAAAAAAAGAAAAATCAGAATCCATTTTTGGTAAATGATTAAATGCTGTTCTGCTGACCTGGACACAATCTCGACTATATTTTGACATAAGTTCTGCCAGGAACGCAGCGCTGGTGATCCAAAAAGAAACGAAGACCTTCACCTCCCTGTGGTGATCACCGGCCCTCACAGTTCAGCATCCTGCATTCTCTCATCTCAATCATCTCAGACAGCCACTCTACCTTCTTCTCAAGGCATCTGTCTTGACAATGATTATAGAATTAAAAAACTCGAATTGGCTATGCTAAATTTGGAAAAGTTACATTCCAAAGAAAGGTATTCATTTCCTTAATACCGTGCAAATGTCTGTGTCCCTGACCGCCCATCAACGAAGTTCACAGACCCACCACTAGGTGGCCACACAGCTAACTAAATTTCACGTTAACTGCAAAAATGCTCAATGATTCTCTCCCTTTTCCAGACATCGCTGGGCCTTCACCACCTTGACTTTAAATAAACTTACTAAGAAATTTGCTAAACTGCATTATTGATTATTAAGGATGAAAATATGGGTGGATTCGACTAGAAACCACTTCCTTCTCTGCCAGGAGTGTGGGTCAAATAAACACCAGGGGACCACATGCTTAAATGAAAGGGGGTGGGGGGGCATTAGCTGCCCTGACACCTTTGAATAGAGATTTTAAATGGGAGAAGCAAATGCCCTTTACTCTGGGCTCCCGAGTCCAATCCTCTTAATTTTGGAAAGCCAACAGACCCAAATAACCTAATCTCTTGAAACCAAATTGGAGCTCTTGTTTTTGTTTGTTGGTTTTTTGGTTGGTTGTTGGTTGGTTTGGTTTTGCTTTGTTTTAACTGTATCATTTGTTAATTTATTTTCTTCAAAGGCCAGCAAATTGACATGGCCTACTGCTGCCATGTGTGGAAACCTGAGATCCCTCCCCAGCAACGTGTAATGGGTAGTAAATGTCAGGGAAAGGCAGCAGACCCCACGAATTATCTGACTTTGTGGTGGACCCTGGATGACCATCGATGCCATGCCCACCTACCAGTCATTGCCAAAGAATGAGAAATAGTGATGAGATTCCCCAGGCTTATTGGAAGCTTCCTGATCGCTTTCTAACTGAAGGCCAGCTTTTAGAAAACTCAAGGGCCTTTGTCTAAGGAAGTGGCTGTCTTGTGGGCTTGACAGACTCCATTAACATCTTTCTCCAGGAAAAGCTGTAATCATGAGCTACATGTAATGGATATTGATTGCTAAGAAAAGATATATATATATAACTTTAAACCTCTGGGGTTTCCAGGGCCTAAAGGTATAGAAAGGGGGTCTTCTTGAGGATTATAGGAAAGCCATCTGGACAGATACTGTATCAGAGCCGTTGGGAATCTCACATAAGTGAATGCAGAAGAGAGGGCACCACGACTTGCTGTAGCCACCCAAGGACAAACACAACTTACTGAGCATACACTCTAAACTCTTCCTTTGTATCATTTCATTTAACTGAAAAACAGATCTATGAACTAACTACTGGTATTATTATTCTCATTTTGCAGCTTGAGAAAATAAAGGTCAATGATTTACCGAGAGAGAGAGAGAGAGAGAGAGAGAGAGAGAGAGAGAGAGCGAGAGAGAGAGCGAGAGAGAGAGAGAGAGAGAACTGATTAAGCCTTGTAGTCAGAATCTCAAACCAGGAAGTCTGCCTGCAAAGGTCGTGCCTTTAATTATTATTATGTGCTGTCGGTGTTGATAGGGAAGAAGAACTCACAAAAACAACCACCCCCACTGCCACCGTCACCACCTCATTTAGACGTGTGCAAGTGAGATTAATGTATCTCTCCCCCACTTTCCATCTACCAAGCTTCTCAGCTCTCGCAGCCATAGTCACAGTGCTATATGGGTTCACAGAGCAAGGAAGAGAAAGCAAAGACAGACAGCTGTCACCACAACCAAGGTGCCAACCCCAACTGAGGTGCTGTTGTAGAAGATGGAGTGCATTTGTGAAGGGACGTGAGACACTCAAAATCCACTCACTCCCTGGCAGGCACTTTGCCATCCTGAAATCTTGTTTTACAGAGGCCTCAGGTTCTGAAGGATGCTTTTCCAATGGACAGGCATCGCCCTGGGTGGTGCCTTGATTCTGCTCTGTGCCTGGGCAGACCTGTCTCTGCTCCACTGTGCGGTGACAGGAAGGCAACAGAAAATTGATGCTCAGCAGCCAGTGGATCAGGGGACGTCAGGTGCCAGTAAGGAGGGCCCTCTGATAGAACCTTCTTCCTTGCTTTCACAAAATAAAAGATGGAGCCTACGAGTGGTCACTTTGGACACCTAGGGAAAAGGAGAGCATCTTTATAGCACATTGGTGGCCCTGGGACCCACTGAGTCATTTCACATCTGTGAAATATGCAGAGCTCTGTAGCAAGGATTATTCTAGAGAGGAGGAGACTGGGGATAAGAGGTTCTCAAACACACAGCAGGTAAAAGGAGTAGTAGAAATCTGAATGCACCCCAGACCAAGGCCCTGATTTTAACCATTTCCCTCTCCAGTTTTGAGCTGACCCATGTAACTGCCGAGTCACAGGGAACACCTGCGAGACCTGAGTGCATATGGGAAAAGGCAGCCTTGATCTTAAAACTAGCTGGCCAGCAGAGAACACTTAGTGGCCCTCTCTGACCCTAGTCCATGCTTTCCCC